CCTCATCAGGGCACCTCCAAACTCCAAAAAAGGAAGGGGAATCTGCAGTTCTCTTCGTAGCTCCTGCTGTGTAACCGCAGGCAGAGGCTAAATTAGCACCTCCTTAGATCCAAGAGCCAGTGTACCCAGTGGTCAGAGGGGGACCATCCAGATTACAACTCCTCAGATCCATAAGGGACACACTCAGGGTGCAGACTCAGTGAGCACCAAAGCCCCACTGAAGCAAGTCTTGCCCCAGAAGGGTGTCTCCAGCACAGAAGTTCTCCCACTGCAGACACAGCTGATTCTCACTGCCAATTGGCCTGGAGGTCAATTCCTCCCAGTGATCCTACAACAACCAAGGCACCAAGAGTGCACCAAGAGTGTCCACCTCAGGTAACTGGGGTGGCTGAGACACTGGGCCCTACAGGACACCTAGCACACAAAGCCACTCTATCAACACAGGGAAGCAGCCAAAATGCGGAGACAAAGAAACAGGTCACAAATGGCAGAAATCGAGGAAAGCAAACGACTGGATATAGAGTTCAAGGCCACGTTTATAAGGTTTTTCAAGAATTTTATGGAAACTGCCGATAAATTTAATGAGTCCCTCAATAAGTATAGTGAGACCCTGGAGGACATGAAAAAGGACCAACTAGAAATTAAGCATACACTGACTGAAATAAAGAATAATTTACAGAGATCCAACAGCAGACAAGAGGATCCCAAGAATCAAGTCAAAGACTTGAAATACAAAGAAACAAAAAATACCCAACCGAAAAAGAAAAAAAAAAAGAGATTCCAAAAATATGAAGATAGTGTAAGGAGCCTCTGGGACAACTTCAAGCGTACCAACATCAGAATTATAGGGGTACCAGAAGAAGAGAGAGGGCAAGATATTGAAAACCTATTTGAAGAAATAATGACAGAAAACTTCCCCTACCTGGTGAAAGAAATAGACTTACAAGTCCAAGAAGCGCAGAGAAGCCCAAACAAAAGGAATCCAAAGAGGACCACACCAAGACACATCATAATTAAAATGCCAAGATCAAAAGACAAAGAGAGAATCTTAAAAGCAGCAAGAGAAAGACAGTCAGTTACCTACAAGGGAGTACCCATACGACTGTCAGCTGATTTCTCAACAGAAACCATGCAGGCCAGAAGAGAGTGGCAAGAAATATTCAAAGTGATGAATAGCAAGAACCTGCAACCAAGATTACTTTATCCAGCAAAGCTATCATTCAGAATAGAAGGTCAGATAAAGAGCTTCACGGATAAGAAAAAGCTAAAGGAGTTCATCACCACCAAACCAGCATTATATGAAATGCTGAAAGGTATTCTTTAAGAAGAGGAAGAAGAAAAAGGAACTCTTACCATTTGCGACAGCATGGATGGAACTGGAGAGCGGATAAACACCACAGGATCTCACTCATTTGTGGAATATAATGAACAACATAAACTGATGAACAAGGACTGATCCAGAGACGGAGAGGCATTGATTGGACTGTCAGGCCTTGGAGGGAAGGTAGGGGAGGGTGGGGGTAAGCGGGAAAGATCAACCAAAGGACTTACATGCAAGCATATAGGCCTAACCAATGGACACGGACAACGGGGGGGTAAGGGCATGGGGGGGGGGGTAGAGGGTAACGTGGGGACAAGGACACATATGTAATATCTTAATCAATAAAAAATATATTAAAAAAATAAATAAATACATTTCAAGTATTAAAAAAAGAAAGAAACAAAGGCTAGAAGAAGGTAAATAAGCCGTAGCTTTTGGACAAGAACCAGGGCACCCTGAAGCCTCGTTTAGAATCCTCTCCACCATACCATGTATGTATTTTTTTAATGAATTGTTTAGAAAGCTAAAACAGAAAAATCAGGAGACAAGCTCTCAATAAATTTCAGAGTTCAGTGACATTGAGATTTTGCCAAAATACTAAAGACTGCCTAAGCCGATGATGGCGAACTTACGACACACGTGTCAGAGGTGACATGCGAACTCATTTTTTTGGTTGATTTTTCTTTGCTAAATGGCATTTAAATATATAAAATAAATATCAAAAATATAAGTCTTTGTTTTACTATGGTTGCAAATATCAAAAAATTTCTATATGTGACACGGCATCAGAGTTAAATTAGGGTTTTTCAAAATGCTGACACGCCGAGCTCAAAGGTTTCGCCATCACTGGCCTAAGCCATAAAGGTATTTAAATATTTGCAGAGACTAGTTAAACTAGGTCTAGTATTTCCTAGGGGCACACCTCCCTTATTCATGTTTCTCAATTAAAAAGTTGAAAAAAACAAGAAGTAGACCGGCCATTGGTTGCACACAGGCACACATTCAACCCTTGATCATTTCATTCCTCACTCTGCAGTATTTTATGAGTGTCCATTATGGATCAAGTACCCCACCAGGTACTAGGAATCCACAGGACAAGGTTCTGCCTAGCTCAGAACTCACAAGGGAAGACAGTATGTTAAAGTGGTGGTTACATTAAAGTGTGTTGAGTATTAACACTGGGGAAATGCCAGATTTTATAGATTTATCCCTGGAGAATAAGTCCAGCTGTTTCTCTTCTGTTATTACTGGGCTGCCTCTTTATTCCATCATTTGAGTTCCCCAAACACGAGCTCTTCTCAATAAAACACTGAAAACAACAAACATTTCCTGAGCACTTCCTGGTGTGCCATACATGGTGTGAACTTCTGCAAGAGAATTCCAAGGTAAACTAGTAATGTAAAATGCATTTTATATGGGGACAAAGTTACTTTGGATTATATATGACTGTTAAAATTAGTGCCACTTGACAAGCACAGGTGATCTCAGAAGTAATTTGATATGTCTTGAAACTTTAGGCTCCCAGGTTTTTATAGTATTAACAGTTTTTGTCAACAAAATTAAATCCCCTGATCATTTTTGTGGTGCTACTGTATTCTGGGCACAGGTATGAATGACTCCCATCCTTCCTTAAAGGGTCAGCTCAGTCCAGCAAGTGTTGCTCAGTGGTTGAGCCTGGACCCATGAACCAAGAGGTCACTGGTTCGATTCTGGTCAGGGCACATGCCCGGGCTGCAGACTCCATCCCCAGTAGGGGGCCTGAAGGAGGCAGCCTATGGATGTTTCTATCTCTCTACCATTCTCCCTTCCTCTCTCTCTAAAATCAATAAAAACATTTTTTTAAAAAGGGCCAGCTCAGAGCACTACTCTACATAGCCTTCCTCTCTACCCTTAACAAAACTCGAGTTTTTGTAGCATATATCATAGTAGAGGCCTGGTGCATGAAATTTGTGCACGGGTAGGGTCCCTAGACCTGGCCAGCAATCAGGACTGATCGGGCCTTCCTTCCCCAGCTGCCAGGTGCCAGCCAGAGCCTTCCTTCACTCCACGCCACCCCCTGGTGGTCAGCGCATGTCATAGCAAGCGACTGAACTCCCAGTCTCCTGATTGAACTCTGAGGGGGCACGTTGCATATTAGCCTTTTATATATAGATAGATATTAGCCTTCTTATATAATAAAAGGCTAATCTGCAAATCGACCCAACAGCGGAACCACTGGTTCTATGATGCACACTGACCACCAGGGGGCAAACATGCAGCACAGGAGCTGCCCCCTGGTGGTCAGTGTGCTCCCACAGGGGGAGCACCTCTCAGCCAGAAGCTGGGCTCATGGTGAGCAGTGCCGGCAGCCAGACATCCCTGAGGGCTGCAGGACTGCGAGAGGGTGCAGGCTGGGCTGAGGGACACCCCACTCCAGTGCACAAATTTCGTGCACTGGTCCTCCTGTTTTCAATATTGACCATATGTATGTCTTCCCCTAAACCGGATGGATCATTAAGGAAAAGACTGTGACTCGCCATCCCCCTACAGAGGCAGTCCCCCAGAATCCGTACTTTCGTCCTGGAAACAGAAATTCCATCATAAATGTATGGGATTGCCTCGTTAACCTTGGAGCCTCACTGCCCTCCTGCTTGCAGCAATCTGGGTTATTGCGTGGGGTGGAGAAGGAAGCCAGGTCGGCTGGAGGGAAGGGAATGGCGTCAGCGCGAGGTCACGCCACATGGTCCCGAACGTCATCTCTGCACGGCGGTGACATTAACGCGGGATGGAGGGATGCAGCTGGAGGGAAGACAGGAGGCCCCAGCGCGCAGCCTACAGTCCAAAGAGGGCCAGACACGGAACAAAGCGGGGACCTCCCGGGGCGTGGCCGGCCATCAGCGCGCCGGAGCAGCGAGGGAGAGTGGACAGCGGGGAGCCACCCCGAGGCCCGGCAGGATGGGGCGGGACTTCCGGGATCCATTTGCCTGAGTGGCGGGGGAACCGGAAGTGGGGGCGCTGCCGCTGGTGTTGGGTCGAGGGACGCGCCGGAGTGGGGCCGCCGGGACTGAGCGAGCGACAGACGCGCCACCCGCCGCCGGGGCCAGCACGGACCCTCTGCCTGAGTGAGTGCGTCCAGGGTCGCGAGAGCTGCGGCTCGGAGGGGGCGTTGGAAGGGCTGCGCTTCGGTCTCGCGAGCGGCCCGCGGCCTCCCCTCCCCCGCCCCCCGGGCCTCCCCGCCTCCGGGGCCTCGCGCGCCTGCCCCCCGCGCCGCCTCGCCCCGGGGCCCAGAGCCTGCCCAGCACCCACCCCCACGCCTGTCGGCCCCGGCGCTCCCCGCCCCCCGCCGTCCCGCGCGGAGGAAGAGCGTGGCCGGGCGCCCCTCCCGCCGCCCCGAGGACGCCTCCAGCCCGGCTGCCTGGCCCGGCTCGCGCCGCGGGCGCCGCTGGCCGCAGCGCTGCCTCCCGTCCAGCTGCTGCCTTTCCCTCCGTCCCGACGTCGCGCGGCGACCCCTCCTCGTCGCTCTGGCCCGGGAGGCCGACCCCTCCCCGTCGCTCTGGCCCGGGAGGCCGACCCCTCCCCGTCGCTCTGGCCCGGGAGGCCGACCCCTCCCCGTCGCTCTGGCCCGGGAGGCCGACCCCCTCCTCGTCGCTCTGGCCCGGGAGGCCGACCCCTCCCCGTCGCTCTGGCCCGGGAGGCCGACCCCTCCCCGTCGCTCTGGCCCGGGAGGCCGACCCCTCCCCGTCGCTCTGGCCCGGGAGGCCGACCCCTCCCCGTCGCTCTGGCCCGGGAGGCCTTGAACGCGGGCCCACCAGTGCTCTGTTTCTTGGCGGGGCGCCTCTCCTCCCCCTTTTGTTGAAAAATCTCAACTCTTGAGGAACTTCTCCACGCGCTCCTCTGATGAGCCTAACAATCCGCAGACGGTCTGACGCCGGAGGCCTCCCCTAGCGGCCCTGCAGCCCGGCAGCTCGCTTCAGAGGTGGGCCCGGCGAGGCTGCTTTGCCCGGGTCGGCCAGCGGCTCCCGCCGGCCGCGGGACGGGCGTCCTCAGGTGCGTCCGCTGGGCGGGCCTGGCCTTCGGGGCGCAGGTGGGTGATGCCGGGCGCGGTGACCCCCTGATCTCCGTCGCCAGCCCCGGCCGCCCCGGCGTTGCCTGACCTTTCACACGCAGACCGTGAGAAAACCAGACATTGCCGTGCGCCGCCCCATGGGGTCGGGAAGACGGCCCGGCCCGGGACCCCAGCAGCTCTCCGTGCCCCTTGCGGTGCGGGAGGGGAAGGGAGGGGAGGAAGGAGAGGAGGCCGAGGGCGTCCCGGAGCCTCGGAGCCGCCCCGCCTCGGGTAAGCCCGTCTCTGGGTTCTGCTCCGGGCACGTTGTTCTCGTACAAAGGCCGCTTCCTCGCGGCAGCGGGAGAGGAGTCGGGGGTGCCCGCTCTCACTCGCTGGCTGGGGCTTTGGATAATAAATTATGGATGTGCTGGAACCTGGGGACCCTCCCGCCAGCCCCGAGGCAGGGCATTGGGGGGGGGGGGGGGCTGCCTTCCCTTCAGGACCACCCGCCCGCCAGCTGCCTCGGAAAGGAACGGAGAGTCAGGTCCGGTCCGGGTGGAAGCGGCTGAAGCTTCATTCTCGGTGCGACCTTCCCTCCGTTTCCTGGTTAAACCACAGAAGCAGCCACGCGGCTGGAGAGCGTGAAGTTAATGCTGTGTTGGCCCCGGCTGCCGAGGAGACCGCTGCCGCGTGCCTGGCGGAGGCCTCCGGGAGCTGGTGTCGCTGTCCTAGCACAGTTACGGAGGAAGGCAGGCGGTGCAGGGAGCTGGGGTGCTGTGCCCTCCTCGCATCCCCCCAGAAAACCCCTGCTAATGCGGTGAGGCTCGCCTGGAACAGCCCTCCTGCTCGGCTAACAAAACTCGTGCGGCATGGTTCTCCCTTAGGCTGGGTTTTTCCAACTGCACCTGCAGCTGTGATCTCAGAAGTCAGTGCTGCGCAGGGGACATGGTTAGGAGTCAGGAAGGTGAGGTGGCAGTCACCTCCCTCCCTGTTGGTCCTTTCTGATGTGTTGTTGATTACAGCTTGGCCATGCTGAATGCCGCTGTGTCACAATAGCGCTCTCCACCTGAGGGAGAACCCAGACTCACTCAGGTTTTTGTGACCTACCCCAGGCTCTTCTCTGGATAGCGCTTTCCCTTCCTTCCTTCCTTCCTTCCTTCCTTCCTTCCTTCCTTCCTTCCTTCCTTCCTTCCTTCCTTCCTTCCTTCTTTCCCTCCCTCCCTCCCTCCCTCCCTCCCTCCCTCTCTCACATTATTTGAATCTTTTGAATGAACCAGGCTGTACATTTCCATCCTGGTTCTTAAAGAGGAGGTTGCATGGGCTTGTGGCTGTTTTTCTTTACCTGATGTTTAAAAACGTTACCAAGCCGAAACCGGTTTGGCTCAGTGGATAGAGCGTCGGCCTGCGGACTGAAAGGTCCCAGGTTCGATTCCGGTCAAGGGCATGTACCTGGGTTGCGGGCATATCCCCAGTAGGAGATGTGCGGGAGGCAGCTGATCGATGTTTCTAACTCTCTATCTCTCTCCCTTCCTCTCTGTAAAAAATCAATAACATATATTAAAAAATAAAATAAAAACGTTACCAAGCCATAGGCATCTGTAAAAATGAAAGCTACTTTGTATTGTAAGATTTTGATTTGTCAAAATAATACACAATCCAAGTGTCTGAAGGTACAGAGAAACAAGTTTCTGCTCCCTTTGCCCTTATAGCGGAAAAAGAAGGGTGACTTTGTATTCATAGTTTAAAAAAAAGAAAAAGACTAGCTAATTGGGAATATTATGTGATCCTCTCCCAGTTCTACCTGCCTGGTAGTCTCAAAGAAATGACATTTGTTCCTGAGTTTCTCTGTTCATACAGCTTTTTATTTTGCACATGAAAAAATTTAGGACCAAGATGAAAGTATTTTGCTGAGGGTATCAGAATGCCATTAAGTTGGGGTAATGGTAATAGAAGATATAAGTAAATTGGCTTAGTAAAATAGAATTTGTCATTGTTTCATGTACTGCAAGCATGTCAAACTCAAAGGCTAACACAGGCCAAATAAACAAGGTTTAAGTTTTTGGGGCCGCAAAAAAAAAAAAAAAAAAAAGCTTCAATTTTCATAGAAACATAGGTTTATTTCGATAGAGACATGCTGAATACAAAGGGCTAAAATACATGAGTAATCATTAACAAAATAATAGAACATTTTAATAAAAATTAATATTTTTTCTTGAACATTAAGTATCAGACACTAAATAACTGCACAAATTAATAAGCGTAACGCAAATAAACCTATTTTTCTTATTCTCCAGAAGAGAAATATTTCCTGTTGTGCACACCAAACAAGTCAGTCCAAGACTAATGACATGGCCATCAGCTGCTAAAATATTTGCTGCTAGTGTTAGTGGAGAGAAATGATGCGCCTGCGCGTATGGCGTATAAGGGAAATGAATGCAACACGATTATAGTCATCAGTCATTAGCAAACTTTCTAGTTTGTTATTAATAATTATGTATAACAGGATATTGTAGAAATTAGGTTACGAAATTTTTATTAAAACGTTTCTTACAGCCCTGGCTGGTGTGGCTCAGTCGGTTAGAGCATTGTCCCCTGCACCAAAAGGTGGTGGGTTCAATTCCCAGTCAAGGCACATACCCTGCTTTCAGGTTTGATCCCCGGTCAGGGCAACCAATTGATGTTTCTCTCTCACATCAATGCTTCACTCTCTCTCCCTTTCTCTCTCTAAGATCAATTTAAAAAAAAAAAAAGAAATATCCTCATGTGAGGATTGAAAACGTTTCTTACATACCATTTTATTGGCTGGGCTGCAAAAATATTCGTTGTGGGCTGCGTGTAGCCCCAAGGGCCACGAGTTTGACATGCTTGATGTACTCTTTTCTAATGTCCTTTGCTCAAGTGTAATAGGCCTTGGAGGTATATCACCAGAGTTTAAATCCCAGCTCTTCCTATCTCAGAGTTCCCTAAAACTGAGATTTAGTTTTATTTAAATAACAGAGGTCCTATCCAAGCACACTATCTTGTAAATAGTAAGTTCTTAATAAAACTTACTTGCAATTATTATTCTAAATCAGTTGTTTACTTGTTGGAGGAACTTTGAAAATCCATGTCTGTAAAATGAGTCATAGGCCTAAATAGATCTTACGGTATAAACCACTGGTCTTGAAAGTAGAGTATGTGCACACACTGGCATGCATAAGAGGATACATTGTAATACAGGAGAAAATTTAGAACTTCTTTCACTTAATTTTTATCTATAAAAGGAAAATAAACCTTGCTAATACATATGTTATATACAGATTTAAAATTTCGCATAAATACACATACTGGGATGCATTTTTTAAAGTTTCTAAAACAAAAAAATGTTTGGACCACACTAATTTGGACCAGTCTTTATTCATCTGCTTTAGTTCACTTTATGCTTTCCTATTAGGTATTCTCCTAGCCTCTCTTTTGACTCTTTGTTGGAGGAATCTGCCTTGAAAGACAGGTCATGTGGATTTGTAGTCATATTTGTTAGAAACTTGACTCACTCTATATTCTATCCATGGCTTTATTTTCATCTTTGGAGACATGCAGAATAATCCTAATATCCCTTCCTAGTCATCTTTGAATACTTTGACAGCTCTTTATGTCCTGTGTCTTCTGCTTCTTCCCCAACCAGTTTTTCTATAGTTATCTAGTTTATACATACCCATTTTTTAAAAACTGTTCTAATGTGAAAGATTTTCAAATTTCTCATCATCTTGGCCCATTTCCTCTAGACACTCTCCAGTTGTCAAAATTCTTTATAAGTTTTTCAACAAGATTTGAACATGGTATTCCAAGAACTACAATGAGCTTAAGGACCTACCTGCACTTTGTCTTTATGCGGTGAGGGATGTATTTGAATACATTTTATTATGAAGGTATTCATATTGATAGTTTGACACTCTTGCTCTTTATTTTTTTATTTTTTAAGATTATTTTTATTGATTTTAGAGAGGAAAGGAGAGAGAGAGAGAGAAACATCAATGATGAGAATCACTGATTGGCTGCCTCCTGCACACCCCCTACTAGGGATCAAGCCCATACATCCCAGGCAAGTGCCCTTGACTAGAATTGAACCCGGGACCCTTTAGTCCGCAGGCCAATGCTCTATCCACTGAGATAAACCGGCTAGGGCTGTCACTCTTGCTCTTTAAACAATCCCCAGTAAAAATAGTTTCAATTATATAATAGTGAGAATAGGAGAGATTATTTTTCTCCTTCAGTAGTGATTCTCAATTATACTCTTTTTAAACTGTAAATTTCACTTTTGCCTCAAAATACCTAACATGTTAAGTGTTTCCCCAGGTGGGAAAATAAATAGAAAAAATTAATGAAATGGTTGGGTTTCTTAAATCTAATTTAAAAGTTAAGTTAGGAAATAGACTTTTTCAGTTAGTGAGTGGAAAATGGAGCTGATTGTTCTTATATTTCTTTACATTTTATGTCTAATTTTGAAATCCATAAGGTGGAAAATGTTGATTGCCCTTTATATATCTTAAGGCCAGTAGAGCTTGTGATCAGCAGGGAAGTAAGGTACTTTTAAAATTAAAACTATTATTAAACACTAGAGGCCTGATGCACGAAATTTGTGCAAGAGACCTCTGGGCCCTCGCAGCCCCAGCTTCGTCCGGAAGGTCCTTCGGCTGTCCAGTCTAAATAGCATATGATGCTTTCCTTATTATAGATTATGTCATATTTAACCTGAATAGCAGACTTAATTCTATAATTGAACTTAGACCCAAAGACACTTTCATAGATGTTTAATGGGTTTAAAAAAGCGAAAACCTAAGATTAAACAATTCTACATGGCTACTTGTTTTCATCTTGTATTTCTTCCTGATTCTTGTATTTTTACATTGATGTTTTTAGCTCCGTATAGTATTTATGTATGTCTTTTGAATGAAATGGTTAGATGTAAGGCCCTCTTTAGGGAGTCATCTATGAATTCTTTTGTGATCAGTGGGCCAGATGGGGGGGGGGGGGGGGCGGTGTCAGACAAACCTAATTTCAGTCACTCACCATGCAAATTACCTAAATTGTCTGATCCTCATTTTTCTCATTTTGCAGCACTTTTGTGAGGATTGGATACAAAACACATATAGTCCTTCATAGAAGGATGTTATTTTTTTGATAGTTGCAAATTTTAGTAATCTAAAGAAATATATACATAGAGAGTAGGTGGTATTTTACATCTTCAGTCAGATATGGGTCTAAACGTGAACCTAATTTTTTTAGACCTAGTATAATTTAGAGCTGCGCTAATTTGTTTGTATAATCAGTAAAACTCAGTCCTCCTTCCGAGAAAGCTTAGCTGTATTTGAGGATGGCAAAAGAAGGAAAAAGATGAGTATGGCCTCCTTTTTTTTTTTAAGGCTACTAATAAAAACTTTATTTGCAAATGTTGACATAGTGTTTAAGTCAAAATTGAAAGCAACGATAAGCAATTCCTTCGCATAGTTATTACCTCTGACCAAGGAAGGCATAATAAGAATTCACTTGGACAGATGTCTCTCATAACCTACCTAAAAACGGGATAGTTCATAAATTCTCTAAACTGCTCTTTTCTGCTGTGGTCAGTCCTTGATCTTTAGCTGTAAAACCTAGTAAACTTTGGCATACTCTAATGCTAGTATTCTAAGTTACTGAAAACCTCTATTTAGCATTATTTCTCAAGTCTGGGCAGTTTTCTCATTCTGAATGCTTAAATATTTAGACCACAAACTGAAATACCAGTAGAAAAACATTCATCTTTAGACAGGTTGTACAGTTAACACATGGCAAGAAACTAACAAGAAAATTTAAAAATCTAGAACATACAAATACTTGAAAAGTGGCCTCCTTTTTTATAAGCCACAAAATTCAAGATTTTTCCCTTTTTCATCATCCTTTGCATTTGCCAAGTGCCCTCTTTAGCCTAATGTCTCTAATATGTATTCTCCATTGTTGGTTGAAAGCAGTCTGGTTTCTTATTTGTCTTTCTAGAACAGGGGTGGGGAACGTCTGGCCTGTGGGCAGTGTAAGGCCTGTGAGATCATTTGGTCTGGCCCTGCCAAGGCATTATGGGTGAGTTAATTAAACATTTGACCAAATACAGCAGGCTAATTTAAGTTGTTAAGTTTGTATGGCCCATAAATGCTGTTATAAATACTCAGATGGCCGCGGGCAGAAAAAGCTTCCCCACACCTGTTCTAGAAGATGAGCACTTCTAATTTTTCTGAATTTCACTTATTCTTTCTTCTCCACTATGAGATGCCATCTTTGTGTTCATCGTTAATAAAATGTTCTTAGTGGAGACCTTTCATAAGTAAAAATACCTAGTAAATGTTTGTCAAGAACCAGGGCCAAAGCCTATGGCCAATTTGATCATAACATGTAGTACAGTTATTTGTGTAATGTTGTAAAGAGTGGATTCTAGTCACTGCTATAGTAATTAAGTACGTAACTAGCAGCCTAAAAAGTTCTAATGTAGATTTCATTGAACTATAGGTGTCCTTTGGTAGAATAGTAACATGCAATCATGAAAAATTAATGGAGCAGACTTTTTAAATATAATGCACTGTTTCTAAATGATACTCAGACCTGCCTGGGAGTTTAGTGATGCTGGATATTTATGGGACTTAAGCAGTTGTGTCCTGGAATTCATCTCTGTTGAAAATAAAGTTCAGTTGTTTTTGTTTCCATGCAAAGCCACAACAAAACTTAAATTTTATTTACTAGCATGTAGTACTTAAGTAAGCAATAACAAATAAACATTCCTGTTAATGGATGAAAAATGACACACACATTATTTTCCTCAGGTATAGAATGAGCCAAGGAGACTCAAACCCAGCAGCCATTCCACATGCAGCGGAAGATATTCAAGGAGATGACAGATGGATGTCTCAGGTAAAAGGAAGTACACATGTATTATTCACAAGAGATGAGCCTCTTCTGTTTTTGAGAGTCTTTTGACCAAAGCTGCAAAGGGTGTTTTTAATGGTCAACAAGAATTTATTACTATAAGTAAAAGTCTAACATTAGAAATCTCAGGCCTAATCACCATCTGCTGTTGGAACTGAGAAATATTTTGAAAGCATGGTAATTCCCTCTGTTAATTTTAAGACATAACAATGTCTCTACAGTATTCTTTTTGTATTGTAACAATTTTTGAATTTCAAAATGACACAAATATTACAAAAATTTTAAGAAGAACTTCCTATATCTTTCATCTAGACTTGCCAATTAAGATTCTTGTTGTGGAATCGAACCCATGACCCTTTGGTCCAAGGGCTGACGCTCTAATCACCAAACAACACCAGCCAAAGCACCAGTTAACATTTTGCCATCTACCTAATTGTGTCTGTATCTATTTGTATATGTACCCAAAATACTGTGTTTTTCTGAACCATTTGAGGGTGAGTTACAGTCATTATGCCTCTCAACCCTAAATAGTTCAGTGTTTTCTAAGAACAATGACATTTTCTTACATAACTACAGTGGAGTTATTAAAATCAAGAAACTTAACATTGATATACAATTACCCCATTTCAAAACCATATTCAGATTTCTCCAATTGTCCCAATAATCCTATATAATAAAAGGGTAATATGCAAATTGACCCTAACAGCAGAACAACCATGCATCCAGTCACTATGAGGCGCATTAATCACCTCTCGGTCCCTTTCCCTAGCCGGCAGGCTCTGATCTCCCGATGGTGAACAGGGAACCGGGAGTGGGTGGTGGGGGATGCTGGTGGCTCCAGGCCAAGGCCCCCACCCCGCTGGTCGCCCCACACACAGAGGGCGACCTAAGGCAAGGGCAGTGGTGGGGCCGGCGAGTGGACAGGAACAGCCTACCTCTCGGTCCCTCCCCCTAGCCATCAGGCTCTGATTGCCCGATGGCGAACAGGGCACTGGGGGTGGGTGGTGGCAGGGGGCAGGGCCAGCTGTGGGCAGCTGGAGAAGATGGCCCTGATCGCAGGCCAGGCCTGGGGACCATACCCATGCATGAATTTCATGCACTGGGCCTCTAGTGTTGTTTATATCAGTTTTTTTCCCCAGTCTGGAATGGAATCATACATTGCATTTATTTGTCATATCTCCTATTCTTCTTTAATCTGAAACATTTCTTGGATTTTGTTTTTCATTATATTGACATTTTGGAATAGTATAGGCCAGTGGTCGGCAAACTGTGGCTCACAAGCCAATGCAGCTCTTTGGCCCCTTGAGTGTGGCTCTTCCTAAGCCTTAGGAGTACCCTAATTAAGTTAATAACAGTGTACCTACCTATATAGTTTAAGTTTAAAAAATTTGGCTCTCAAAAGAAATTTCAGTCGTACTGTTGATACTTGGCTCTGTTGACTAATGAGTTTGCCGACCACTGGTATAGGCCATTCATTTTTTAGAGTCCCTCAATTTTGAGTTTATCTTTTTCCCCATAATCATGATTCAGAAGATGCATTTTTGGCAGGAATATCAGTGAAGTGGTATCTTTAGTGCATCACATCACATGGAAGGCACATGATGTTTGTCTCATTGGTGATACAGTAAATCCTCATTTGTCATCATCAGTAGGTTCTGTGACTTTAAGCAAAATGGTGTCTAATGAAACCAGTTTTAATATAGACTAATTGGTATAATAAACAAGAGTTAAGTTCCTATAACATCTCATCAAAATAACAAAACAGCGTGGAACAAAATGACATCATTCCAGGACCTGCTGTATTAACTTTGATCCCTTGGTTAAGATGCTATTGGCCTAAACCAATTCTTGTTTTTTATCGTATGGACCCATGGGTTCTTATTTTATTCAGTGGGTTATAGCCATTGTAATTTTGAAGCTCAGATTATCCCAGGTTTAGCAAGTGGGAATCCTTTAGGCTGGCCCCTTTATCTTCTCAGTGTGTCCCATTGTTTTTTAGCACTTTATTTTCTTCAATATTTTAGCTTCCTTTTAATAAGACATTGTCACTGAGTAGTAACTATATTTAACCTTTATGTTTCCGACCATATTACCTCTTTGAAATAATAAGTCTGATTTTAAGTTCCCAGAGCTTTATGTTTTAGTATCTAGTGATTCTACTTATACTCTTTATAGTTGTGTATTCTCTTTCTGTTTTTGTCTTCCCAGGCTTAAAACATCAGTCTATCAAAAGCTTATTCTGAGTGATAGTTAGGTGTTTCCCAACTGTTCTCATATGGATTAACTACTTGATTATTCTTTCTTAGTCTTCCTCATTTGTTTATATCTTTAAAAAGAACTTAGGAGCCTGGCCAGTGTAGCTCAGTGATTGAGCATTGACACAGGAGCCAGGAAGTCTCAGTTTGATTCCCAGCCAGGGCACATGACTGGGTTTCAGGCTTGATCCCCAGTAAGGGGCGTGCCGTAGGCAGCCAATCAATGATTCTTATCATTGATGTTTCTGTCTTTCTCTCCCTCTCCCTTCCTTTGTCTAAAAACCAATAAAAACATATTTAAATAAATAAATAAATACGAATAAAATAAGTATTATGAAGTGTTTTGAGCATCAATATATTTGTCACACACTCTAAAAAAAATAAAACATTGCTAATAGAATTGCTATTCCCTGTATACTCCTCACCGATCACATTTCTCAGTTTCCTAAATTTTGTTTTATTTTTTTTTCATGTATTTGCATACTACTTATATGTAATCTCTTTTGTGTTGAACACATTATAGTGTATACAGTTGTCAGATTATAATGTTGTATACCTGGATCTTATATAGTGCTATTCACCAGTATTACCTCAATAAATTTTTTTAAAAAATAATACATAGTATTTCTTGCATATTTTAAACTTTTTATAAATAGTATTTTTCTGAATGTATTTTTCCACAGTACATCATACATATTAAAAGTGTACCTATAGTTTATTTTCTTCCTGTCAATAGTATTCCATTGTTCTGTATCAAAATACCAGAATGGATTTGCCCATTTTTTTCATTGATGGACATTTAGGTCATTTATAATTTTATTCAAAGTAGTAACTAAAACATAGGTGCTTTTCTTTTTTCTGGCACAAATTAGCAGGCTTTAAATAATTAGCGGTGACTGAAAAAATTAATCAAAGAAGAAAAACAGATGTGAATATTAAAATTTTTTTAAGTAAAAAATTACACAAGTAATGTAGAAGGAGTAACTTTACTAAATATTAAAATACATACACAGAACTTTTTTAAAATATTTTTTTATTGATTTCAGAGAGGAAGGGAGAGGGAGATAGAAATATCAGTGATGAGAGAGAATCATTGATTGGCTGCCTCCCACACGCCGGAGCCCACAATCCAGGCATGTGCCCTTGACCGGAATCGAACCTGGCACCCTTCAGCCTGCAGGCTGATGCTCTATCCACTGAGCCAAACCAGCTAGGGCCAGAACTTGTTTTTGTTTTTTTGTGTTTTTTTCAGGCTTAATTCACTTTATTTTTCTTGTATAAAATTATGTGGTGGCCATAGCTGGAGCCTGGGTCCTCTGCACAGAAACTCTGGTGTGGGTCTCTACAAGATGGTCAGTGAATTCCTGATAGGGAGACTTGGTGAACACATTCTCTTTCCAGAAACCTGGGGTGAGATAGCTGTAGGTCTTAGAGATGGCATCAAAGGTGGCCTTGGCAAAGTTGCCCAGGATGGCAGTGCAGCCCCTGGCTGATGTGTAGCAGTCGTCAATACCAGCCATCATCAGCAACTTCTTAGGCACAGAGGCCAAGACAATGCCCGTACCCTGGGGGCAGGGATGAGGCGCAGAGTACAGAGCCACAGCGGCCAGTCACCTTGCAAGGTACCGTGTGGGGCTGGCCGATCTTGTTTCCCCAGTTAGCCTCCCTGCACGGGGACAATAGAGAGCTTGGCCAGGGTAATGGTTCCATGGATGGCAGTGGCTACTTCCTTTGAGCACTTCACACCCAGACCAACATGTCCATTGTAGTCTTTAATGGCGACAAATGCCTTGAACCGGGGTCTGTCCTCTGGCCAGCACGTGTCTGCTTTTGCACAGGCATAATCTTCAAGACTTCATCCTTGAGGGATGCCCTCAAGAAAAAGTCAATGATCTCAGATTCCTTGATGGGCAAGGAGAATAGATAGATTTCCTCTAGGGATGTGATCTTCATGTCCTTGACCAGGTGGCCCAGCTTGCTGACAGAGATCCACTCCTTGTCCTTGTCCTTGGCCTCCACGAGCTGCGCGGCCTCGGCCTCTGCTCCTACCCGGCTGCTGCCAAATCCTCCACGGAAGCCACTGCACAGCACCGGCATCATCTGCCATTTGGTGTTTCATCGGAAAAGAAGAACAAAGCCAGAACTTGTCTTTTAACTGTAGTTCTCCAGTGAGAGAACCTGGGCTCCTTGGAGAAATGATTGATTCTACAACTGGAACAAAGGAAATAAAAGATGGGCCTGGAACATCTTGTGGTGCAAGAAAGCAAGGAAGTGCTCAAAAAAACAAAAGGAAAAAATGGGTGGCAGCACTGAAGCGGTGTATCCTCAGGGCATCACAGAAGACGTGGTACTGGTTAACTAAAAAAAACCCCAGATATTCCTGAATCCCATTCTATAAATGATTGGATGAATAGTAGGGGTGGAGGGACAAATCTTTCTTACAGGATAATTTTTCTTTTGTTGAAAGTATTACAGATGTCCCCATTGACCCCTTCTAACCCTTTTCCCCTCCCACCCCCACCCCAGTCCTTCACCATACAGAATACTTTTTTAAAAAAAAATAAATATGTTGTGGTGACCCCCAACCATAAAATTCTTTTCGTTGCTACTTCATAACTGTAATTTTGCTACTGTTATGAATCGTAATGTAAATATCTGTTATGCAGGATGTATTTTCATTGTTACAAATTGAACATAATTAAAGCATAGTGATTAATCACACAAAAAATA